ACAAAGAATCATTCTTTATATGCTTTTATTTTATTTAGTCCAAAATTAAGCAAGAGTTGGGGAGTTATGCACACTTAGACACTGGGGTGTGGCTGGGGATCAGTAGCAAAGGGACATGGCAGAAATCAGAGCAAATGCACTTGGTCTGGGAGAAAAAGAAACGTGGTGGACTGGAAACTGGGCAATGGCTGATCCCAAACCAGCAGGTCACAGTCATAGTCATAGAACAGTAAAGCAGGGGTGCATTCTTCCAGGAGGATGTCATCAGAAATATCAGGCCTGAGCAGTGGGGCAGAACAGCTTGGAACATCAGCCTCAGGGAGAGCTAGTTTCTGAGACAATTTTTATAAAACTCAAGATGCAGCTTACTTTGCTCAGTCAGAGTCTTTCAGGGAGAGTGTAGGTGAATATCTGCAGAATGTGGAGAGGATAAGTAAAGGTAGATCCTGGCAGAAATTAAGCAGATACTACAGTTTGTCCCCTTTTAATACACAGTTCTGGTCAGTTCATGACCCTTATGCATTTTACTGCATATGTCATTTACCTTCTCTTGAGTATTAAGCTCGTTTGGATGGCAAATCTCTCTCTTAATGAATCATTTCTGAAGTGAGATGTTAAGCTCTAAATTTAAGAATAATATCCATTTTTCCCCTTCCTAAGTCTAAGCCAGGCTTTGGCCATATTAGTTGAGAAGTTAAGACATTTATCTTCATTAGCTCTGATTAACTTCTGAAATGATGTGCATGTGTTGTAATGGGCAAGGCATTCTGCATGCAAAGCAGACGTGCTGACCTCAACACTTTTACCCTCTTTGCTTTAGAGAATAATCTGGACAACACTTTTTGTTTCCAACAAAATAAGTCTTTGTCCTACCAGTTCAATTAATGACTGTTTCCAACTCTCCTGCTTTAAAAAAGTTATTCTTTCCCTTATTCTAGCTGACTTCTCTCTGTATCTCCATGGAGTGCAGCAGTCTGACCAACCACACCCAGTTTGCCACCAGCATGACATAAATACCCTCATCTGGAAGAGTCATTTATGGCTGGAGAGAGGCTTGGGCAAGGAAGTAAAGGGAGATGAGTAGAACCATCTAATGAGGTTGGTGGTGGAAGAGGCCTCTTGGAGGGTGCTCAAGGGAATTAGTGCAACTGCTGGGTTGAGGGAGGACAGAAGGATGGCAGCCAAGACGGGTAAACAGCAGACAGAGAAGCCAGTAACACACAGATAGCCCAAGTAAACCATGCCAGGAACAGGGGATTTGGGGAAAGAGAGGGAGGAGGAAAGAGAAAAAACTGACAAGTTACTGACTCCCAATGTTAACTGGAACCCTGGAATAGGAACAGAGAAAGGATGAGACTTTCCTTCCTTCGTACCCTAAGCTCGGTCTCTAATTCTCTCTTCCCCTTTTCTTTCTTTTCCCTTCTTTTTTTCTCTTTTCCCCCCTTCTGTTTCTTTCTCTGCCTCCTCCCTACCCCTCCCTTCCCTCCTCCTTCCCGCCCCCCTCCTCCCTCTTCTCTGTTTTCTGGACTATTGAAACATCTCCATGTTGAAGAGTTACGATGTCAACATCACCCTAAACCATCAATTTGTCAGTAAAGGAAATTGTCACTATTTTAATGAAGGAGAAAGGGAAAAGGAATGTGACTAATGTCCAGGGAAAACTAGGCGACAGCCCAGAAAACATTGTGTCTCCAGGAAAGCAGTAGAAGGAATATCCCTCTAATCACATCTGATGTCACCTCATGAGGTTTGGATGATTTCTTGTGGCTGAGAACTCTTTTTCCAAGATATTATAAGTCAATAAAAATAGTATTTTAAAAGGCCTTTTCTTCTGAGTATCTTTGGTTCTAAAGCAAGATTTCCTTTGCTTCTTCACTTTTATTTCCCTTTTTAGCTCTGTTCCAAAGAATACGAAAACAATCTTCTTTGGGATCTCTGTTTCTTGGGCGTTCCTTGACAGCACGTCCTACACATGGATTAAATAGATGGCATCATAGCATGGTTGGGAGGCAGAGCAGGCAAGAGAGGCAGGGTCATGCTGTCCTAACGTGAGCTCTGGGTGGGAGATGTCAGTGTCTGTAGCTTGTCTCCTAGGATAGCAACAAGCAAGCATGATTTGTAAAGAAAATTTCCAACCTATGTTGATGGGACTGTCTGTCCAACCGAAGCTGTGGTAAGAGCATTCCTGTCTCTGGAATGCCAGACCATGCCACTGTGGGAAGCATCTCGTGAGTTCAAGGGGCCACTGAGTTCTGGTTTAGTTGTTCCTTCTTAAAATAACTCTTCACTGAGAATGGTGAGGCTCTATTTGCTCATGGTAAAGTTTTACATTTCACTGGTGCTAGGGGGCTAAAGGTTTTTAACTATATATGAGCTTATAAAGAGAATAAATGCTTGTTTCC